ACAATTACTTCCCTTTGTAAAACCATTGCATTCCGTGAAAATAATTTACTTTTTAATTACTTTGTTTTGGTGTTGGGAAAAAAAAATAATTACATAATTAGCGGGGATTGATCAAGTGCAAATGTTGTAGGTATTTTACGGATACGCTTGGACTATTAAAATTGTTTATTAAATTGAAACAGGCGCGTTCGTTTAAGTGAGTGCAAAAGACTGTGAATAAGTTGGGGTACTATAGGTCGTTCATTAAGCTAAAACAGGTGATTCCGCCCCGGGCGTTTATGTTCGCGTTAGTGTTTTCTTGTGTTTAGGTGGGTTTGCGTTAGTGGTTGCGTTTTAATTTGGTTCGTTTTTGTTCTTTCTTTTTTCGTTTTTGTTTTTTTTTGTTTGGGTTTGTATTTGTGTTTTTGGTTGGTTTTGCGTTTGGATTTGGTTTGTTTTCGTTTGCTTTTTTCGTTGATTTTTTTTTTGTTGGTATTGGTGTTTGTGGTTGGGTTTGATGTTAGGTTTTTGTTTTCGTTTGCTTTTTTGTTTGTTTTTTTCTTTGTGTTTGTATTGGTGTTTGTGGGTGTGGTTGTGTTTGTTGTTAAGTTTTTGTTTTCGTTTGTATTTGTAATTGTGTTAGCGTTATGTTTGCGTTTTGTTGTTTTTGGTTGGTTGTGGTTTGGGTGGGCAATGCGGGTTTATGATGATTACCTAAACACACAGGTAATGGTCTTTAACAGAAAGGTTTTTCACAGAAGCCAGAGCAGGGCCTGGCCGGGACGGCTAGTATATATATAGTATATATATATTTAGATATAGATAGATATAGATATAGATATAGATATAGATATAGATATAGATATATATATATATAATATATATATAGTATATATATATATATATATATATATATATATATATTTAGATATAGATATATAGATATATAATTTATATTTATATTTGTATATATGGATGTATGCATAACCTATATCGGCTTGTCTTTCTTTGTATCCCATTAGAGCTTAATTGCATAAAGTCTAATCTATTTTAGCCAAAACACTGATTTGTGGCAGCGTCAGTTTACCTTACAAACTGCATCAATATAGTTTTACGCGTGGAGAGGTTGAGGCTGTATGCCACACCTACTCATAAACTTAATTTACCCTACCATAGGAAAATGTGTTGAAACAATGTGTTTTTATCCACCTTAATGCTAAAAAAAGAGAGCAATAAACGTTCTGACACCGAAACGACTCTTATATCCGTGGACAAGTGGCAAATGTTCGAACACAGACGACTCTAATATTCGTGAACTAATCGGCACACGCTGGGGACGGCTGTACAAAGTAGGATTTAAAAGTAAAACAATAAATTTGCAGATTTTTCCAGAAAGATTGATCCTGCCTATACTGCATTTGTTTTTGTTAAACTCTGTTCTATCTTTACGAGAAGATTATTTTAGAAAGTAATTTTTTTTTAAATAGTAATAATAATTTATTTTGTACTTTTATAGTTTCAAATACCATCAATTGTATATATTGTAATTAAATAGAGAAAGTAAAATGGCATGAGAGCTAGAATAAAATAGGGAGTGCAACTCTGTTTCTTTTGACTGCTTAGTTTACTGTGCTCCATCCTCAGCTGTGGAACCATTAATGGGCATAGTGTCTACCCCCTAGGAACTTCTTTTTTTTTTCGAATATTTTAGTATTCAATTTAAAACAAATACCTCTTTCAACATAGTTTTTTCAATATTTTTTTTTTTGCATTTTTTTCTTTCAATATGTAAACCATTATTAACCTATCACTGGTATGTAAGTTTTGTTACGGTACATTATGTTGTAATTTGTTTTTCCTTACGTGCGTTGGGTACCCATCAGGGGGGTGGACTCATGGACGGTCTAATGACTTCAATTAGGATTCGAACACGAAACTTAGGGTTTGGCAGTGCGTCTCCTATTTTTTTTCAATATATTTTTTAGCGCAATTTCCATTCTGGAGAATTGCGTTTATTAACCCGTCATTTCTGGATGTATGGATGGATGGATGGATGTGTGTCCGCAGCTTTAAGTCGTATCTCCTCCTCAACGAAGCAATATCGATGACTAGTTCCAAAGCAATTATGTTAAGCAAGTTACGAGGATGAACATAGGCCATAAAAATTACGGGTTTCTTTCATGGATTTCCCGGAAAAGCCTAAAAACCTCGAAAAAATGCAGTGTTTGGCCCATATCTCGGCAACCAGACCACTAAGCGACTTGAAACATGTACCAATCGATTCCTGCCATAATTTAGAACAATATTGCCGAAGAAAGTTTTCAAAAATATCCTTTCGTTCGGTCACAAAAAAATTTGTGAATTAATTAAAATTTTGACCGAATTAGTAGGCATTTTTTCCAACCACACCACACGCGTCATCACGTTCAATAGCTGCGCCATCGCGTTCCATGGCTGCGCCATCACGTTCAGTAGGCGCGCAATGGTTTTTAGTCATGTAACTCTATTGTAAATAAAACATGTAAAATACTGAAAAAAAATTAATAAAAAAAACGTTTTAATAACTAACCAATGGTTTTACTAACCCTGCTCTTGATTTACGCTACGACAGAGCTATTTTTAGATAACATAAGGAAATTGCGCTAAAATTGTCACTAGACTTTTTAATTACTTGTTTTATAAATAAATTCAGTTTTATTTTGTAATAATAACATTCTAATCACCAGACAGCATTTATCATATTCTAACCATCAGACAGCATATATGGCATTGGTGCACAATCCACAATAAAAAACTAAACACATTTTTTAAATAATATTTTATCATTGAAAATCTTACCAGATTAACAGAGTTTAGAAAAATACACATACTTTATTTAAAAGACGATTTAAGCAAGACTACTGTAGTTCAAAAAGTAAACTCCCTTTAAATTAAACCAGATTTAACCTGACGAAATCCCATTTGACATTTTAGACAAAAGATTTAAAAACAAAACAAAAAAACCCATTAAGGCCAAGGGCGGTGACTCTGTGTTGGAGTAATGAGAAGGTTGACAAAAGAAATAGCTTTAACTACATGATGATGTCCCTTTCTTTAAGTTTTGGAGTGGCATGTAGGCGGAATAGAAGGTGAACTTAAATCTTGCAGTCATCTTTTTTTTTGACTAGTATATGCACTTTTATGTGAATTATACTAGTGCATATGATAAACTGTCATGATTGTCAGATTAAAAAAAAAATAAAGCTTAACGAATTATTAAAACTTAACATAGTTGCAATCATGCTTTACATTACTTGTGCCAATTCTTTACTTTATATACTAGATTGAACTCAATGGCGCTTTGATTGTAAAAAAAACAACTATTTGAATACGGTATCACTGATACAGCATGAAAAACAAATTTTCTTTTTAATTAAATGTGAAAACGTTGAACACAGTTACCATAGCATTAAAATCATTTTAAAAGAAGTTTTACCGTCTGGATTTGATTTAAATCTGAATCTGTTTATTTTTTCTAAACGAACGCGGGCGAGTTTCATTCCACGGACTCATCCTTTCTGGAAATTCCCGAAGCCCGTGATTTTACATAGTCTCGCCCAACAAACGTGGAAAATTTGCTAGTAACTAAATAAATACAAAACATCCCGTAATGTAAACACGGTTTATTTGGCCAGCCAATCAGATGTCGCGTCAACAGATGCCCGGATTTACCACCAGTCGGAAGATGATTGGCTCGGGTAACAGGATAAACATTGGGGGAGGGGAGGGGGGCGCTACAAGGGTCACGTGATCAAGTTGGTCGATTGATCTTTCGATAAAAGTATGCGCTTGTGTCACGTGGACCGTTTAAGCACGTGATATAAAACTTGTTACGTGGCTGACGTGATCTAGAGCTAGTGATGCTGCTGTTGTATTTGGAGCTAGTGATATAGAGCTCAATAGAGAGGTTTGTGTGGACCACGTGATACAGAAATAGCCACGTGGCTGTTCTATGTGAAAGACGTGATCTAGAATAGTGATGTAGCTGTTGTATATGGCGCTGGTGATCTAGAACAAGTCACGTGGCTTTTTTTGGTGCCACGTGATAGAGAACTAGTCACCTGACTGTTTTCAGTGCCACGTGATAGAGAACTAGTCACGTGACTGTTCTATACGTGGTTTAGAACTAGCGATGTGACCGCACTTTGTAATCAAGAGATCCACACCAGTTCAGGTGGTAATTCTTATGGAACATCACTGTGGCTTTACTTCGATAGTAGCACGATATATGATGGAATGATGGACGCTCTACATTATTTGTTTAAAAAAAAATTCATAAAAAACGTTTTAATAACAAGCTTTTATGTAATGATGCACTAAAAAGTAGAAAATAAATTATACACTACTATTTAAATTACTATAAAGAAAAGCGTGGGTCACTTTAGTACTTTAGTACCTATTGGATACCTTTACTAATATTTGAGAAGAGACCCACGCTTTTCTTTATAGTAATTTAAATAGTAGTGTATAATTTATTTTCTACTTTTTAGTGCATCATTACATAAAAGCTTGTTATTAAAACGTTTTTTATGAATTTTTTTTTCAGTACTTTACATGTTTTATTTACAATAGTGTTACATGACTAAAAACCGTTGCGCGTCTATTGAACGTGATGGCGCGCCTACTGAAGGTGATGGCGCAGCGATTGAACGTGATGACGCGTGTGGTGTGGTTGGATAGACATGCCTATTGATTCGGTCCAAATTTTAATTAATTCATAAAAAATGAAGTCAAATTTAGTTTCAGATTGCATTGTCTTCATGTCTTGACCCACGTGCCAAATGTGAATCGTATCGGTCAAGTAGAAGTTTCCGAATTTTCACTCCTTCGTTTCGATCTAGACTGACGACAGATAGACTGTCGACAGAGGAAGTGAGTTAAATAAAAGCTTGTAATAAAAACTAACACCGACGTGTACTTTAGGTGTTGTAACACACGAGCACAAATGCTCTCAATTTTCTTGATCTTCCGTTTTTTTCCAGGCATCTCTCTGGTTCCCCCCCCCTCCCTCCCCACTCCAGGAGCAAGTCCCCTGCGCCCCCACCCCAGGAGCAAGCCCCCTGCCCCCCACCCCAGGAGCAAGTCCCCTGCCTATCACCCCAGGAGCAAGTCCCCTGCCCCCCACCCCAGGAGCAAGTCCCCTGCCCCCACCCCAGGAGCAAGTCCCCTGCCCCCCACCCCAGGAGCAAGTCCCCTGCCCCCTACCCCAGGAGCAAGTCCCCTGCCCCCCACCACAGGAGCAAATCCCCTGTCTCCCACCCCAGGAGCAAATCCCCTGCCTCCCACCCCAGGAGCAAATTCCCTGCCTCCCACCCCAGGATCAAATCCCCTGCCTCCCACTCGTGAAGCAAGTCCGCTGTCCCCCACCGCCACCCTCTCCCTGCCAAAATATATATAGTTTACTTATCAAATATACTTAAACCAGCGTCCCGAAAGTGTTTCTCCCATTCCCCAGAGACAAATGTCTGAAGGAAAACCTCTGCCCGTCTAGCTCCGCTGGTTCAGATATAGCCTGGATGTGAAAATAAAGACTTGATATGTGGTAAAGCTATTCAAAAGCTTTATATAACCCACCCATTTTTATGGTTCAAACAGATTTTAGAGACTGAGATAGCACAACCCGATGATCGGGAAAGATTAAAAAAAAACAGAGTTATTTTAGAAAGATCGTTATAAAATCGTCTAAGATTTGCCGTTAAAAAACCAACTAGTAAGGCATGAAACACACACGGAAACAAACAAACACAGTCACACCTACATAATTCCAGCTTTTGAAAATATTTCAATAAAATAAAAATGTAATAGCAGTCATTTGTGCAGATTTGTATAAATGCCAATTTAGTAGACAAAGCGTGCAATATTATTACTAGCTTTTATTTAACTGGCTTCCTCTGTCTGTCGACAGTCTGTCTATCTGGCGTCATAGATCGAAGCGGCCAAGCTAAATTTCGGGCACTTCTAACTAACAGAATCGTTTCAAAGTTGGCACGTGGGTCGAGACTTGAAGACAATGCAGTCTGACATTAAATTTTACTTAATTGGATGACTAATAAATTCTTTATGAATCAATTAAAATTGTGTCCAAATTAGTAGGCAGGCTTATCGAACTATTCCGCACTATAAAGAAATGCGTGTTCACTTTATAATCTATTGGATACCTTTATTAATATTTAGGAAGGGACCCACGCTTTTCTTTATAGTTATTTTAATAGTAGTATATTATTATATATTTAAAGAACGGTATTTATTTTCTTCTTTTTAGGGCATTATTACATAAAAACTTGTTATTAAAACGTTTTTTTAAATGAATTTTAACCTCACTGCAGCTACAATTTATATGAATTTTGTGTGTGAACATTTGATATTATATTTGAGGCGGTCAACTATTGTCGTGAAACTGTCCATGTAATGATGTATAAGATGCTAGAAGCTTTGAAGTTCAGTGTTGTCTCAGGAGATCAGATGTACACCATATAGTCGGATACAAATCTTGTCTTGTACTTTTAATCTTAACAGTGCTCGTATAATCGTTTGGGACATTATTAAAAAAACGCTGAAAGATATTTAGACCTACTTTATACTCCGTAGGTTGTAAAAATGTTTTAGTTTTAAAGCATTTTTTTAGGTAAAAAATTATTTTTTCCAATTTTGTCTGAACTTTGGTCTGAATCCAAAGGTAATTAACCTTTGAACGTCTGCTTTACAAGTGCTCACATGGAGACTCAGAAAATCTCGGTCACGTTTTAGCTGGTGGTGGGGTGGTACAAAAAGCTGGGGGGGGGGGTGGGAGTCGTCAATGGGGGCTGGGGAAATGAAAGAAAGAATGACTGTTACATTTTCGCCCAGCTTATTTTTGTTCCGCCTACTTTTTCCTGATGTGTTTTTTAAACGAGGCGAAAAATTGTTGAACCAAAACAAACGCAGACGACGCTATTTTGTTTCATCATCTTCTGGTTTAGCAATCGTCTGCGAGAAAGTTTTCATAAAAAAGCAAAAGCTATAAAAAGGATATATAACAAAAAAGAATTTCCCACAATTGATTATGAATACATTTTCTTTGTCTGGTTTTGCCGAACGGGAGATTGTGTGTAGGCGGTCGTTTTGTGTAGACCTTTTTATACACACGTTTTTATTTAACTTCCTTTCTCTGTCTAGATAGAAACGCCTGAGCGAAATTTCAGGCACTTCTTAATGACAGATCCGGTTCAAAATTGGACCGTGGATCACGGCGTGAAGACAATGCAATCTGACATTAATTTTGACTTAATTGGATGCCTTATTAATTTTTTGAGTTAATTAAAATTTTGTCAAAATTAGGAGGGTTTCTCATCAAACTATTCCGCGTTATTAGACACGCGTCATCACTAGGGCGTTATCGCGTTCATTAGGTGCGGGATGGTTTTTAGTCATGTAACTATTGTAAATTTAAGAAATTTAAAGTACTGAAAAAAAAATTCATAAATAAAACGTTTTAATAGCAAGCTTTTATGTAATCATGCTCTAAAAAGTAGAATATAAATTATACACTACTATTTAAATAACAAAAGAAAATAAATTCTTCGTACATACAACATTATAAAGCCATAGTTCAAGAACTCTGTCTGAAACAAACCAAAGCTAAACGTAACACGAGTTTTGATTTATAGTAAAAAAAATGTTAAACTATTGACCGCCATGTCTGAAAGTGTATGTAAAGTAAAGTTCACCTATTTGTGTGATGAATTATCGATGGATATTGTGGTCAGACTAATGGACGTGCGACTTCACTTTCCGGTATTTCATTTCGTTACCCTCCCGAAAAAGAGCTCGCGTTATGCAGTCGTGCCCTCTATTAGCCAACCACGCCGACCCACAAGTAGCAGCTAAAGACTAGTGAATTAAACCAAAGTTAACCAGTGATACTATATAATTCAAACCGAGCTTTCATATATAGCTATCTAGGTCTTTAGAAGTAATTACGTTTCAAAATGTCGAATAGAAAAAGTCATTAATTATGTAATTGTAATGTTTTTTAGTAAGAGTAGCCTCCCCTTGCAACAACAAAAGTGCACAATTCAAAATTCTGATAGCAGGTGCAGAGTAGGACCAGTCAAATCAGAGTTTCTTAAAGCTATCTCTTCGGGGGTGGGGGGGGGGGGGGGGCGGGGCAGAGCCGTAGAAATTTACCATACCCCTCCCCGAGCGAAATTTAATTTGTATAGAAAATATATTGTTTTAACAGTGTCCGTCCAGCCCCCCGTCCCCCCGGAAATTTTAGTTCGTCCCCCCCCCCCCCGAAACTTTCAAGTGCTCCCCCCTTTCCCCCCCCCCCCCCCCCCCCCCGAGAAAACGTCTGGAAGAAACACTGAGTGCAATAGGACTCTTTACCGCAACAATGTTAAATAAAATACTTAAAAAATACTTTTTAAAAAACCACGTTTTTCTTGTGGACTAAAAAGTAGAAAATAACTATTTTCATACATTTGATGACAAAAAACGTGGGTACGTTCACCATCAAATTTCCCGACCCATCTGCCCGACCCACGTTTTTTGTCATCAAATGTATGAAAATAGTTATTTTCTACTTTTTAGTCCACAAGAAAAACGTGGTTTTTTAAAAAGTATTTTTTAAGTATTTTATTTTCTCCTTTTTAGTCCGTTGCTACACATGAAAAACGTGGTTTTTAAAAAAGTGTTTATAAATACACGGACTAAAAAAATCTTGAGCGACCAGGATTCGAACCTGGGTTGTCGCGGCCACAACGCGAAGTACTAACCACTATACGATCACGGCCAGCGCGCTCACATCGATTGGGGCCGAAGTAACTGTGTCAACAAGCCTCCAGTCTTGTCGGTATCTTTAGAAATCATGTCCTCAATTTTATGGTCCTTTGGGCGTAATTAAATTAAGCTAATTACGGTCTCTAATTGCTAGTTTTTATGATTGCATCTGAAATTGTTAGGCGAAAGTAACCTGCATGCCAAATTTCAGATCTATAGAGCAATCAGAAGTGGGCTAATTTTCGATGTCAATTTTAACAACAAACACATCCACGCGAAGCTGAGTTAATAAAAACGTGTTAAAAACAGCAAGGTTTTCCCACGTGTGAAACACGTTTTAATCTTACAAGCAATACAATTCCATTCCATCGAATTTATAAACCGAAAAAAATTCATGCACATTCTGCTTTTAGATAGCTTTCACAAACTTGGCCAGTTCATCGGCTTTTTAGCATTGTTTGGCAGATTTTTTTAACCCCGCCAAGGCCGAATTACGGCTCACAAGCAAAGCGTTGAAGACATCTTGAGGAAAAAATAAATTCTGTTTTTTTTTTTAATTTATCCCAGCCAGTAATGAATTCAACAATAACAGATATCTGCAATAATATCTATAATTCTTGTAAGGTTATGCCGAATTTTAAAAGACAAAACGTGAATTTATCTGAAAATATCGCTGTTTCATTTCACAATCAGGGAAATTAAATTACAATTCTCTTTACAATGTTTTTTTTTCTATTTGTAAATACATTGAATTGAAATTGGAAATTGACTTCAGAACACATGATATTTTTGATTGTCTGCGGAAATATTTTTATGTATTTTCAATCACATTTTTAAATATAAAATTTATTTGCTGATTATTTTTCCATGGTCAATTTTTTAATATTTAAATGGAAATTTGAAAACGGCCGATATTTGTGTTTTGTTTCAATTGTTTCGCAATATTATCCAATATTTTGAAGTACACGCATTCAGACACTGTGATGCGAAACTTAAATCTTCGGTTACACTTCAAGCTTGACCCATTTATCATAGACATTAAGTACCACTGACCCTAACTAATTATGTTCATAATCACACTTTCCACGTGCAAGTCGAAATAATTCTATTGGTATAGTGTTATAAAATCAAAGTTTCTTCCATGCACCTCTTCGGGGGGGGGGGGGGGGGGGGCGAAGAAATTTTATCCCCCCCCCCGAACGAAATGAAATTTATATAGTAAACATACTTTTACTAGAGTCCGCCCCCCCCCCCCCCCGAAAAATCTTGACCACCCCCCCCCCCCCCCCGGAGGAAAATGCCTGGAAGAAACACTGTATAAAATCTTACTCAGATACCATCATTACACCTTCCACCTCCCATACATGGATCATTACCCATGATTATAAAGCTCAAGTCATATTTAACCTTTCCCAGACCCGTGGGTTGACCATAATCCCTGACTTTAACTGACCCCAGCCATTGTGTTCAGTGAATACAAGGCAAATCGTATGCGGGGAGTCTACTAGCTCAACAAGAAAAGTAAACTAAAGCGATTACGTTAGCCCAGTCTTGATCTCTGTTATTCAAGCAAATTAATAAAAAAA